CCTAATGCTTCTTTCAAGGGGAAATGGAAAGCAATGGCATTCGGTTTGGATGCACTCTGTATTCAGTTTTCACAGCTGTAAACAACCCACCCAGTGAACAGCCAGAGAAGAATGAAGCCCCAGACATTATTCCAAACAGGATATCACAAGACTTTCAAGCGCAAAATTTAGACAAAAGCCTTACTCTTGTCACTGTTGCCCTAAAAAGAAGTAAGACACAGGAGAAGTAGATGCCTCTGAAAGTTAAGGCCTCTGAAAATTTTTCCCTGTAAAAGCATCCCAAATATTGATTCAGAAAGATCATCTCTCTCACAGCAAAAGCGAGGTGTGCCAAAGAAGTAGCTAGGACCAAGAAAATTTAAAACACTACCTTCCACTAGTCTTCTGGCAGAGGCCAGCATCAAGGCCATTCCTATGTCTGCTGTTGGGTCTGCCACAGCGAGCGGGGTGTTGGTCACTTTCACACCAAAGCTCGAGATCATTTTCAAGTCTAAGTGATCCACTCCAACCCCAGAGTTTGCAATCACCTTTAAATTAGGCAGGCTTTCTAGAAGCTCACGGTCAATAGTTGGCCTGCACTCAAACACAAAAATGGATTGGATTTTTTTTCTCATTTCCTCTTTGTTTCCAAGAAATTCCTTCATGGTGATAAGGTGAAAGTGTTTCTTCAAAAGTGCTGCAAGGTCTTCTAGCACGCCATGAGTTCCTCCTATATCCAGGATCAAAACAGATGGCAACTCTCCTTCTGCCATGACCTGAAACAGAGGAATAGAAGAAATACTCCTTTGTTTAGGAGAACATTCTGAAAGGAGCAATGATGTTCCTTTAAAAGTTATCATTTAAATTCACATGTGCAGATCAGGAAACTGATGGAACTCAATAGTGCTTTTAATCCACGGGCACTTGGTACTAGTGTGGTACATCAGACAAATTCCAAGTACTTTTATCAAGTGCTGATTTAGACTATAACACCAAGGAATATCCACACTCTTACATCCAAATCCAGTGCTACAAGCTGTTCTTCTCAAAGAGTTTCATTTTGCTCCGGAATCAATACTGATTTAATACAAAACTAGTAGCTTTTCCAGGAGCTTACTCACCAATGCCTTCTATAAGCAGTGCTATGAAACAGAGGCTGCTAGGAATTTAATCAAAGTTTCTTGCCTGTTGGTAATGGTTGGTGAAGCCAGAGGCAATGTAGGATGGCACTGAGGCCCAGATGGTTCTGACATCTGTCAAGGATGGTTTATGTCTAACAAATTTGCACAATGAAGGGCCACCCTTGGATAGCTGTTAGACTGCTTGCCTTCAGTGTTTTAAACATTCAGATCTGTACCTGAACTTACCTCATGCAAAATTTAGCACACCTATGTGCTGAAGCAGTGAGGAAGAGCACTAGAGGAGATACCACTGATAACACAGTCCTTCATGCTAGAACTTTCCTCTGCCCTGAGAGTTTTGAGCCCAGTCCTCTCTACAGCACTCCAGCAAATGCACTCTGCAATAAGATAGGGGCTCCACATAAAACCAAACACCTAATTAGAGCTCCTATTGGCAAAAGTGGTAGTTGAAGATTTCCTGCATATCTGAACAATAGCTGTGCCTAATTTCCGACAATTCTTTCTGCTGTGCTCTACTGACTTTTGATCTCCATCCCAATCTATCTCCTAGGCTTGTATCCAAGAAACCTGATGTTTTGCTACCTGAATCAGAACAATTTTCCACAACAGTATGCTGATTTATTCTGGGCACACAATGCTGGCCAGCTGTTTTCTGCTGCTTCACTCCTCTCACAAAAGCCTTCTGTGAGTAATCAGAACTCAAACCTGTGACAAAAAGGTGTCAATGTAAGTTGGAAGTTTTTGTCAGCCATGTTTACCCTTGTCCTGAGCAAACTCAGACTTATCCCAACCACATCTAACAAATGGTTATAATCTTGGCACCAGTACTGTATTTTATCCTGGCCTTGATGTGCATTTCTGCTGCAGTTTCAGTCTGCTGCTGGACATGGGCTTGAAGGGCCCTCCATGCTAGGACAGGTCTGCAGTTCTCTGATAATACTATCTGGTTCTCAACTGCTGCAAACAAAGCAATGAGGTGAACAGTGCAGCCAAATTGCAAAGGAAGACCATGTTTTTATATATATCTCATCTTTTTTTTTTTGCCAGCTGAAGTTGTCAGCCACATGTAGATGTCAAAACTGTGCAAATTTCCCCAAGTGTAGTCTGCATTTCTTAAAGAGTATCACACAACATTACTAGGATAAAATAGATTTGTGTTGCAGAATGAATGATGCATAGAATAAAAGAGCAGTTGATGTCATATTGTGATGGCATTGTCCAGCTTCATGAATTATCAGAATCTGGTAAACCTGGAGGGCAGCTAAACTTTCGCTGTTAAGCAGGGAAAACTGGGCACCAGACATGATCAAGTGACTGGCAGATGCCAGTGAGGCAGCACCGTATTACTCCATTTGCTTTCATCACCACCTCCTGCCCTTTACAATACACCACACATGATGGGCTGAGCCAGACTTGCTTTCACTTTGGAAGCACTTCCTACACTTCAGAAGCAGAAAGGTGACCCATGAGGAAGGTCTAGTTATAAACAAACGGGTGCACTAGAAGCAGGCTAGTGGCATGCTGATGGATCTCTCAACGAGTGTGGGCATACTGAGCCGGCCACATTCTATTCCAGCTGTGTTTGATGCACGTGTGACCCATTCACTGCCTGCAGCACTGGTCCAACAACTGATGTTCTGCTCGCCCCAGGTACAATCTTAAAAAATCACACTGATAGCAGGAAACTAAAAACACTTAAAGGAACCTCACAGAAGGAAGGGGGCTCTCCAGATACCAACCTTGGTCCCAGTGTTTATTGTTCGTCTTCCAGCACTAAGTTGGTGCATCCTGTACCTCTGTTTATAAATTACACTTCTGTAACAGCAAAGTCCATGAGAAGCAGTAACTGGATGAAAAAATTTGTACGCCAAATTTGACTGGCCAAACATCAAGGGAATCAGTGTTGACAGACTTGATGCTTTGCTCCTGAACATAATTATTCAGTTATCAGATGTCTTGTCCAGTGTAAATGTGGACAGGTGACAGGTGCTAAATGTAACACCTGTCAAGCACATGACAATTTTGGTTTTGGACTAGTTCCATCTGTATTATCAACAAGTTCCTTTTTTTTAAAGTTGTCTCTTCTCCTTTTGTATTTACATAAGACTATATGCTTCCATGTAGGTAAACAGTCCTAATCATAGTAAATCATTGATATAAGATAACTGTACTAAGTTCTGGTCCTGCCATTGCAGAGAAAACTTTGAAAATATGACTTAGACTGAGACAAAGGGGCAAATACGTTTAAGTATTAACTTCAGCGCTAACTGAAGTTGACCTTATTTCATCTGTGGAGCTTGACTCACTCCTCCAGCGGAGTTTCACTCACACGCAGATTTGTTGGCTGGCACTGCTGTATCACCTTGGACTTAAACAAATCACAGCAAAATAAACGATGTAATTTTTCCTAGCCCAGTTTTCAATTAAAATTAACAGCCTGCATTATCCAGGATCAATTCCTCCCACTAACTTCTCTAAAGAAGAAGACTAATTACACCTCAGCGACAACCAAAAAGCACTGACCAGGGCTGGTTTCTTTCCGACGACGCGCCTTCTACAGCTGGATCCCGCGGCAGCTGGGAGAGCCGGGAGCTCACGGCTCCTGCTCGGGGCCGGGCACAGCCGCTTCTGCCCAGCCCCTCTCCCTTCACCCCGCCCGGGCACCGCCGGCCCCGGGGCTGCGATTTCCAGGGAAGCTCCGGACGGGGATCACCGCCCCCGCTGCCTCTGCCCCGGCCTGCAGCCGGACCGGGCTGCCTCTCCTTTTCCCCGCCCTTTCTCCCCTCCCCGGACGTCCTAAAAAGGTGATAAAGCAAGACGAGGAGCGGGATAGCTTTTGGAGAGCTCAGCAATTATGGGGCAAAGTTATTTGCCACCAATTGAAATTGTTCCCCACGGCCCTGGCTGCAGTTTGTGGGGAATTTTTATAGTGGAGACTATAGCAGGCTTTTGTCCCTGCCTGCTGCAAGCTAAACTTTCAAATGAGTGTCTGCTGTGGAATTAAGGAAACAGATTGTCTGGGATGGCCTATGCCAATGGCCAGCTCGATTCTGGAAGCCAGAGCTGGAATGTGCTGGTTTTGCTGCTGACCACTTCCACTGGAGCCCAGAGTGCTCCCGTAGGGCACTTGGATCACCGGAGCGATGGGAGCGCCCATGGAACCCCATGTCTGGGAGTGGCTGGGCATGAAAATCGTCATTGCTGTGGGTGAATACACTGAGAAAACCTCCCACAGCCAGGAGATGCCAGAGCACAGAACCACGGAATTGCTGGGCTGGAAGGGACCTTAAAGAGCACCTGGACCCAGTCCTCTGCCATGGCCACGGACACCTTTCGCTACACCAGGGTGCTCAGAGCCCCGTCCAACCTGGCCTTGAACTCTTCCAGGAATGGGGCATCCACAGCTTCTCTGAGCATATCTCTTTGATCAAATCCCATGGAGGTTACAGGGAATGTACAACATGAGAGCGGTCAGCAGCAGAGAGAAGGAGATCGGGGCTCTGATCACCTCTGTTTCACCCTCCCCGTGCTAGCCGGCATCACCGATCCCCTCGGCACGGCTCCACATCCCACCTGCGAGGGGGGACGCCGGTGTCCCTGCCCAGCCCGTGCCCGCCCGTCCGGCGGCGGGCTCTCCTCCCGTCGGGAACGCGCCAGTCCCACCCGCGCTCTGCCGGAAATGCGCGTTCCCGTGCCCGCCCTTCCGCTTCCCGTCCGTGCCGGCGCTGCCGCCGCTCCGCGTCTCTGAGGGGAGGACGCCCGCGGGGTGCGCTGGGGACGGGCCTCGCCGGGATGGGCGGGCTGGGGGGGGCTCCCTGCTGGCGCTCGGTGCCCGCCGGCGCCCCGGGAGGGCCCGGGGAGGGCTCGGGCTGTCAGCTGCATGGGCATCCCTGTCGTCCCGCAGGCTCCCCAGCCGGCCGCCAGGATGTCGTACATGCTGCCGCACTTGCACAATGGGTGGCAGGTGGACCAGGCCATCCTGTCGGAGGAGGACCGGGTCGTGGTCATCCGCTTCGGACACGACTGGGACCCCACGTGCATGAAGATGGATGAGGTCCTGTACAGCATTGCCGAGAAGGTAAACGGGATCTTTCTGCCCCTTCTGAGCTCAGTGTTCCCCATGGCTTGCTTGGAGCCTGGGGCAGCTTGTAACCGGGGTTCTGCACAGGTATCCCAGCTTTAGGAGACAGCGGGAAAGTTGTGTGGTTTCACTTTCACGAATGTCTCCTAAAGAGTGCTCTGATGTTTGCAGTGTTCTGGGGGAGGGTGAAAAGAGCGTCGCAGGTGTTCGGAAGTCGAGGGTGCTGCTAGTCAATAACCCGTCACCGAGGGAGCATCGGCGTTCAGGCAGAAACAGTGCTCGGTGCTAGGGCTGCTGCGGCTCCAGGTAACGCAGCCCTCTCGCTTCACGCTGGAAATGTACCTTTAGATTTTCATCTGAATAGCTTGAAAAGTTACTTTCACTTTGTCTCTTAAAAATGGTGAGACACTAAAATGTGCAGGATGGTATTGATTAATCTGTCACTCATATAATTCTGATTAATTTATCAGCAGTATTAATCTGCCAATGATGTTATCCATGGACACCAGTAGCATTCTGCTGAATTGCATGGACTGAATTAAATTTTAAGAGCCAAACCCCACAGCTGTTTTCAGATGGAAACTGAATGATTAAAAACAGACGATCACTTACTTAAGAAAGATGCATAGATAGGAAAAATTAGACTGTTAGGATACACAATCAGCTACAATTTACCTTTTCATATATTTGCTAAAGATTTTGCCATACGATAGATGTAGAATATTGACAGCTCTTTAACTGAACCGCATGAAGGAAGAAACAAAAATATCTGAATCAGAAATGGTAACTTGGGTAGGAAAAGGTGTCAGCTATCATAGAAATCAAGAATGGTTTGGTTTGGAAGGGACCTTAAAGATTCTCTCATTCCAGCTCTCCTGCTCTCCTGCACAGGTTGCTCAAGGCCTCATCCAGCCTGGCCTTGAACACTGCCAGGAATGGAGCATCCAGAACTTTGCTGCCTTAATAGAAAGTTCTGTGCATGCTGCATAGATTGACATGGAGTTGTTTTTGTGGTTTACTTTGCCTTCAGAAGTTTTCTTAAATAACTAGTGTCTTGAAAATCCCCACAGAGGTTAAGAATGCAGTATTAGAATGTAGGAATGAGTTGTGACATGTTTTAATACCGTTGTTTTGTATTCAGCCTGGTGGGAGTGTTATGCTCAGATACTGTTAGTATGGACTTGTGGCAGGATGCTTGGAAATTTGGCAGACCTGTTGGCAGTTAGGGGTGACTGGGGGAAGAAAGAACAAAGTAACTTCTTATTTAAAAATCTCCCTCTGCAGAAATGGCAAATTAAAGGGAGAGATCCTACCTCATCCTCTTGCTTACAAGCCATGTTTGGATCTCTGCTGTTTTAAAGAGTGAGTAAAAGTTCCAATTGTCCAGGTGTTTATTCTAGAGAATAATACATAATGTTAATGGGTTATAATTGCAGGCTATGTCTGAAGGCAATGTGGCCATATTTTACATTTGTTACCCTGGTGCAATAATCTTTTAGACTGCAGCATATTTTTGGGTAGCAGTAATATTTATCTGTATTTTATGATAGGAGAACAGGGTTTTCTTTTCAGTTTTTGTGGAAAAAGAAACTAGAATGCTATGTGAAAGTACAAAGTAGATTATTTTCACTGAAATGTACTCTCCTTGCAGCTGAGTTTTTCCCCTAGTGTTATATGAAAAAGAAGCAAAGTTTCACTGAATGTCAAAACAAATCATAATTGTAAGATGTTGGATTTTTTTTTTTTTGCTTTGTCAGGGTTTCAGTCAAACATTGATTGAAGCAAGAATTGAGTTTCACAAATTTTGTCTTAATGACCTTTTATAAAAATATACTTTTTTCTTTTCTTTAAAGGGAACTCATAAACCTATCCCCTAAAATACAGGGATTGGTTTGCTAAATTAATGCACCTTGTTTAAGAAATTATTTATTTATGAGTGAATAGTGTAAATGAGGTAACTGTTGTATTGGATCAGTTTGGGTTTAGGGAGGATTTTTCAAATGTTGTGCATTTATTTAACCATAATCAGAAGTGTGAATAGCTGTGGGTTTTCCTCGAACATTAGTTGTGCCTCTGCATTTCTGCTAAGGTTACATGAAAAGTGAGAGAGGAAAAGAATGTGGGGCAGGGAAAGAGGTAGCTGTGAAAAAAGCATATAGGTATGTTAGCTACTGGTGTTTGTAGTTAAAAGCTGAGCAAAGTTAATCCATTTACTGATGTCTGTAGTATTCAAAATTATTAGCTGTAAGTGCTGCTCTTGGCAGTACAGCCTTTCTCTTTTACCCTAGAAATTTATCACCTAAACTTACAGCATAATTAGCAAGAAAAAAGTTCAAATAAATATCACCAGTACAGACTTTCAAGTTTGTACTTGCTCTGTTCAGTTCAGTAATGCAAGTCTGCCAGCTACCTTCAGTTCAAGTCATCTGCTGCAAATGCTAGTCTCTGTTCCTGTATTTTTTTCCTGCAAGTTTCTTGACTGTAAAGCAGTATTTTGTTCTTCTAAACAGAAAAAACACTGTCTAGAAACTGATTAGAAAGATGAGAAGGTGGAATCTTGGATCTTGTTCCAGATTTCCTTAGATATTTGGGCTATAAGGTTTGCTTTTCAAAGGCAGCTGAAATCTTAACAACTGAAAAAACAGGAGCATTACTTACCTCTGACAGAAATTTTAAGAAACTTCACGATATTTGTCAGTCATCCTGGGCATTAATCATAGTGTCAATCTCATGTTGTAGGAATGAATTTACTTATTTTTCAGAAGGATATTGTTAATTAAAGGAGTCAGGGAGGGGAACTTCAGAGGATAAATGAGTCCCATGGCAAATGATTTTTCCTACATCTGTGTTTACTAGCAAGTATGTGAAGACAGGATACAGAATCTTTATCTGATGTTAAAAGTCCTGTAGATTCCTCTGCTTTATAGTCTTGAGCCATTCAGTGTAAAGATTTCAGTGGCCAGGCAGTAATGTGCTTTTGGGTTTTCTACATGCATCTTCAGCCACGTGGATTGATGGGGCTGATCTATGAAACTACCATCACTAGGGAGAAGGGGCAAAACTGCAGCCCAACCTATGAAAACAGGTCACACAGTTTTGAATCTGTGCTGCTGTTTGACTTATGTCTCCTACTCTGCCCTGTGCCCATGGAACAGCAGCTCCAACAGCCTGGTAAGGCAGAGAAAGTTTTGAATTGAAAGAGAGGTAGGGGAAGTCAGGAGTGTCAGAAGTAGTTATTATCTGTCTCTGAAAATGCTTTTATCTTCAGTTGTTGCACAAGTGAGGTGCTGCCCTGAAGGAGGTGTCTCACTAGAGTTTTGATTTTTTTTTCAGAAAGCAGTTAACTTACTGCAACAAATTTACTGTATTAAGTGTATGTTATGAGGTTAAGCACTTTCAGAGTAAACTTGTGTTATTATATGTCCCTTCTCTCGGCTGTTTTGTGGCCTGGAAAGGCTCGGAGATGGCCTTGGGCAGCCCGCGCTTCAAAGGATGAGAAGAGGCTACAGGTCTTTCTCGGACTCCAGTATTTATTGGTTGTTCATCTAAAAGATTTTCTCTTTGCCCAACAGAGGTCCGCACAGCAAGCCAGCCACGTGCACACTGCGAGCCCCCGGGGCGGTCACTTATCTTTATACTCAAAATTACGTATACAATATTTACCCATTATTTCCAATACCTTTTACCCTTATTGACCGGTGCACTTTTAGTAATAACCAATCCCAAAGTGCCACCATCACCACAGAAGATGGAGGCCAAGAAGAAGGAGGACAGGACACGCCCCAATTCCTCCATCTTACTTCTTTAGACCCCCCTGTACAGAAATCCTAAACCCTGTGTCTTACACTCCAATTAACTTATCCCTTCACCATTCACCCCAGTGAAATCCTCCCATCCTCATACAGGTGTCGTCTCTCGTGTAGGATCAAAGTCCAGCCACCAGACACTTCTGGCAACATTCCAGGACTCCCGAGCCCCCCAAGGGTGGTCTCGGTCACTCTGCACCTCAGTCCTGAGGTTCTGAGATCCCACAATTATATGTTTAGCTTCTAAAATACTACAAGGTTTTTTTCATATTGTCTCTACCGTAAAATTTTGATTTATATTAACAAATTCAGTGTAGTCCCCCTTGTAACTACTGCAACTGCTTGTATTTACTTGGATTTGCATGTTTAGAGTTGTATTTTATTCTTGTTCTGAGGTGCTCATACTGTATCCTCAGTTACAACTCACAAATCAGGTAGAAAACTTGTCAGCAACCACTGCCTTGACAGGGTAGCAAAGCTGGTTTTGTACAGGAATGTTGGTTTTCAACGGACACCTGTGTCTGAGCAATGGATTCACATCCCAGCAGAGAGAGGTCAGCCTTTGGTTTGTCTCCACAAACCGTGAACATCCACAGCAGTCTGAATCCATAAATACTTCCCCTGGTTTTGCTTAAATCACAGCTTTTTTGTGAATTAGAGCTGGCTGCGTGTGAAGCTGGCTCAGATGCTGCTCTGTACTGCTGCTGTCTTGGCTCCAATATTGTGTCTGAGACAGGAGCTGCTTCTTCAGACTCTAAAACTGGTCAGTACTGTGCAAAAAGAGACATCTGAGTCTCTGCAAGGCTTGTCTTGTGTTGAAATGAAATGCCTCTTGGTGACCAGCTTGCCCAGCCTGGCACATTAAATTGCCCAGCCCCTAAACATTCCATAGGCCATTGCAGTTCTTCTGCATCACCCTCTCCATGTGTTTGTCTCATCCCTCCTTAGGCCTGAATTCCTATTTCCTGCTGCTGTCCTTGGCAGCCAGTGCCCAAACTCAACAGAGCACACCCTCATTCAATGTGCTTGTAAGCTAGCTTGTTTTGGAGTGGTGATCATGCCAAATTTGAAATTAGGAAAGCGAGGGGTAAAGAACAGAGCATCTTTTAAAGTTTTGAATTAAAATTTGAGTCCAGCTTTAAGCTCTGCTTCAGACTTAATATGAGCTTTTCAGCAGGTGACTGTCATCAGTTTCACTTCTATGAAAGTAGGTCAGAGAAGGAAGATTTAATTAATGTCTTGGATGCCTGGGTCCTGGTGATGATTTGCACATGTGCTCTGCAAAGGGGATTTGAGTGATCCACTCCTTTTCAGTAAGATTTATGTACTATGTACTAACTAAGACTTTTATAGTCTGTTTCTCTTGTATGAAATCCTAGGCTGTTGATGAGCACTGCTAGTGACATGCATTTCTGGTTCTGCAACAACTCAACTAAATTAAATGCATATAGTATCAAACTGACTTTAAAAAGTTTTTTTTGTTCTAGTACTATCTGGAGTACAGAGTTCTTGAAAGTAAAATTTTGGTTTAGGACTGCTTATGGAGTGGTATTCTGGTGCAACATGTAAATCTTCTTGGACTAATCTTTCACCGAAAAAAACAGGTCCCAAGAATATTTTATTAAAATAATTTTGCAAGCTCCAAATTAAGTAATTGTTCAGAGATGGTGTGCTCTGTCAAAATTGCTGAGCGTGTTGTAGAAATTCCCCCACATAGTGAAGGTGTTTTTGCTAAAAATGCCAGCAGGGTGGAAGAAGTAATGATAGGATAAAATGAAAATGGCTCCTTAGGTGTTTTGTTTTCTAAAAAAAGGATCAACCACCCCACAACTGCCTGCCAGGGCTCACCAGGGACTAGCTTCAGTCACTTCTCAGCTAAATTGTGCTGCCTTTGAACATCCCATTAAGGTTCTTAGAAGTCTTTAATGTAAAATTGTGAAGGATCTCTTCAGAGAGTTTGATATTATGACTGTTTTAGTTTACAAGGCTTTACCTCTTGCCTGATTTAGAACATAGGGATGTTTTCATTGGAATGTTGACTGAACCTAGGACTATAACTGGCTCCATAAAAGCGCAGTAAAGACTTTAAATGCTGCTTCACTCTAGAAGAGATTTTACCTTCTTTGCTAGTAATGCTTACATGCATTCTTGAAGTGTGATTATTTTTTATAATTTTGAAACTGTCTTGAAGCAGAAGTCCATAAAAATTTATTTACTCTGTGCTTCTGAGGTTTTTTTTTTGTAAATAACCATTTCCATACTTTCTCAGTAAAGCGCCTGCTAGGATGTCTACGTACAAGCTACACAATATTTTTCTCATACAAACTAATCCTGCTCTGTGAACTAAAATAAAAGATTGTTCCATCAGGCAGATATTATACTCATCATAGCATTTCCAGACTTTTGATAGCAAAAAATTAACAAGTGGGAAGCACTGTCATGAACAGTGCATTTGTCATAGATTTTAGACCATGTGTGTCAACCTCAGGCTAGTAATTCTGGGCAGCCAAATGGGAGGGACCAAAATTGTGTTAGCAGGTAACTGAGGATGGGGAGACACAATTGTGGGCTCCTGGTGTAGTGCAAAAGCATTTGATAATATACCTTATAGTTTGTGCGTTCTGACTTAGAATGTAATGTGTGTGAGTGTGTTAATTTCTACTGTGCACTTATGAGCTGAGTTTAGAAACCAAAATTTCCCCTAATTCCACTTAATAACAAGTATGCTACATCAAGGAAACAAAAATGTGCCATGGTTTTCTTGCAGAAATGAAGGCATTGACTGTGACACTAGAGGGGAGGGATTCTTTTGCATCTGAGTAACTCTGCAAAATAAAAGCCAGTTTTACCAGAATTGTCCAGACATGAGCTTCTCATGAAGGTCTTACTTCTTTAGCAATTGCACTTTTAAATTTTAGCTTTGCACCTCTCAGCAAAAGCTACTAGTTTTTAAATTAAATTATAAGTTTACAATTTTACACAAATTGTATGTTTTAGAGGGGGAAGAATGCTTGGAGGCAGGCACCAGGGCATTGTAGATCATTAATTTTCTGAAGTCTATAAGCAGTTGATGACACAGGCAAAATGTGTCAGCTTGGCTTGCACAAAGCAACTATTCTGCTTCTTTAGAGCTGTGCATGTCACTGTGAGTTCTCAGCTCTATATAAAGGGCATTTGTTTCTCTGGATGTTGATTTAGCATAGTATCTTTCCAGTTTACACTGGATGTGAAATGAGCTTCTGAGCTATATTGAAAAATATTTTCCATGTTAATTGGTTGTTGTGATTAAAAATAAAAGCAAGGCTGTTTATTCTGATTTTATGACTTAATAATTTGGAAAATAGATGTTACAATAATGAAAGCTTATGCCTTTTAATTGGTAATATATACAGCTTTTGTATTTCCTGTTTTCTTCTGTTTAGGTTAAAAACTTTGCTGTTATTTATCTTGTGGACATCACTGAAGTACCAGACTTCAACAAGATGTACGAGTTGTATGATCCCTGTACCGTCATGTTTTTCTTCAGGTATGTGACGGTTCTGGAATGTAACTCATTTAAACTTTCTGTTTGTCAAATGCAGTGTCTCAGCAGATCATTTCCAAATGCATAATAGCACACTGATGCCTATATTTACATTGCTCTACAGAAGAATAAACTGATTTTATAGGAAAATGGCTTGTTTTCCAATTAGCCTGGTAACAATGTTTGATAATAGAGTGTGAATTAATGATAGTGAAAACCGGGTTTATTATCCATTTTTCTTAGTTTTAAATTTCAAACTTCCTGTAGAGAATACTGTAGTAACATAGCAGTCAAGCTTGCCAAACTTGCTTTCAAGATAAATCAAAAGTAATAAGGTTTTTCTGGAGTTAAGGTTTCTACATTGATGAGATAAAACGTTCTACTGACAAGCATGGAAGTCTCTCTGGAGATAGACAGTAGTGGGAAAGAAATACAAATAATAAGGAATATGCTGAAGGATAATTGCACTGAATAACCATTTTGGAGTAATGATTGTTTTGCAAGCCTGTTTATGTTATAAGGGCTTCCTTTGATCGTACAAAGCATTTGGGGTAGAGTATAAGATTTCTTTCTGAATTGTAATACCATATTAACCTGGTTTTTTGTTCTTCCTCTTTAAAGGAACAAACACATCATGATTGATTTAGGTACAGGTAATAACAACAAGATCAACTGGGCAATGGAAGATAAGCAGGAGATGATTGACATTATAGAAACTGTTTATAGAGGAGCCCGCAAAGGTCGAGGTTTGGTGGTATCGCCGAAAGATTATTCCACTAAATACAGATATTGATGTTTCTTTGGGCTGCCTTTTCTCATAATCCTATGTCCAGTTACACTTATTCCTGTGTATGTGTGTATATAAATGTATATTAAAAGAAAAAAAACCTACAAGTCCTTGAATATTGAGCATAATTTGAATGATTTAAAATATTTGAGTTCTGTTTGAGAAGCAGAAAACTTAAAGCCTGGAACTATCTTGAATATTACTGCAGTAATATTGTAGCTGAATTTTGGGGTTTTCTTTTTTAAAGACTCTCCTTTGTTGTCCTTTTGGTATTACATATTTTTGTACACAAAAAGCCTGTTTGCAGAAAAAGCATTTTAAATTGTTTCATTTGCTTTTATTACACAAATATCTAGGAAAACTATACTATAGTGTTTTTAAAGAATAAAGTGAGTTCCACTTATTCACCTTGGTTTTTTTTCAGCTAATGAAATTTGACAGTGAGTAGAGATGGGTGCATTGGGTGCAAGTCTGTTGGGACTTCTGTTGGGATTTCCTTGCGTATCGTACTAGTCCCCTGTATGCACTAAAAATGGGAATAAAACAAGGTGCATTTATTAGTATTTAACAGAACTCAAAAAACATCTCCTGTGACTTTGCTCACCACCACACCCCCATCAGCCTAATGGACTTGTGGTGCCAGACTCCTTTTCCATGGTGGCTGGGCACTCACTTTGAAGCACTTGGTGAACTCTGCAGTGCCAAAGCATAGTTGCACTTCTGGAGCTGGCTGCAGACAGCAGCTAAGGAAACCAAAAGCCATGGTGTCACTTGACCTCCAGTTTGCCTAACAGTATACATAAAATGCACATGTACTTGGGAGACTCGGATTGGATTCCACTGTGGCATAGCTTTAGAAATTTCCATTTGCATTTCTGACAACTTTTATGATAATGGAGTTGATGCTGTGTGGGGGCTTGTTTGTTTTTTAAACTGATACATGTGTATTTACAGGATTAATTAAAACCAAACCAGGCTAGCTCCCTTCTCCAGAAAGAAGAAATCCGGTTTGTTACAAGCCAAACAATCATTTCTACTACCAAGTATGTTGTAGAGGATTTAGAAAGGGTGAAGAAAGTAAAACAAAAGGGTCTCCATTTCTGCTGAAGTTAATCTGGTTTAGAGTGGTTATTGATTTGGAATAATTTATGTTGGAAGGGAATGTCAGCCTCTCAGTCACAGTAGGTTCCACATGGTCAGGTTGCGCAGGATCGTGTCCAGTGTTGAGTTGGTTGGACTAGATGATCTTCAAAATGCCTTCCAACCTTGATGATTCCATGTTCTCTAAGGATGGAGATTCTTCAGCCTTTCTGGAAGTCCCGTTCTGCTGTTTGAGCACCTTCGTAGGTGAAAAAGATGTTCCTTGCGCCTAGCTGGAATTTTCCATGTTTCAGCTTGTGTTGAGTAACCCTGGTGTACAACACTTTCAACAAGAGTCTGTTCCCCGTGCTCTGCCATGGGATCATGGTTGGCAGCAAAAAGCCACAGTCCTTTCTTTAGGCTGGACTAAGAGATTTCTCTCAAACCTTGTGTCTGCTGTAGCCCACTCCATCTTGGTGGCTGTTTCACCTCCCTCACACCACTGCATCTCTTGAATGGGCAGCCCCCAAACTGACAGAATATTGTGGGTGTGGTGTTCCAGCAGGTGAATGGAGGGGGAATGACTTGCTGGCCCTACTTTGTGCTCATACCTGGGCACCCTGCCCACTCAGCCAACCTTTCCTCCAGACCCCTTTCTTGCAAAGCAGTGCCAACCAGCCCCTCACACCTGCCCAGCTTGGCATTTTGAACTTCAGCAAGGTCCTGTTGGCCCACTTCTCCAGCCTGTCCTCCAGCACACCAACCTCTCCCCCCAGTCTGACAGTATGTGCAAGTCTACACTGATTAAAGCCTTAATTGAAATGATTTCTTGATCTTAATGAAGGCTGTAATAGAAGCATTTCTCCCTCATTAGCTGAGGTATTTTGCTAACCTGGCAATGCTTCAGTTTCTGCATTTCTGGTAAAAGGTTCCCATTACATTGCAAACTAAATCTTCCCTGCAGAGTACCTATGTTTTGGTATACAACCACCTTAAATTTAGTGCAGATGTCCTGTTTTCTGACTACCAATTTCTTCTTCTGGACAGGCCTGGTAACTAGAATTCCTCATCTATTTCCAGGTCTTTAAATAAAATAAACTATTTTCATCAAAACAGCTAACATTAAAGAATTGAAATTGTCACAATATAAATACCTGGGTGATGTTACCTGCACTGGTGTGCACAGCTTTTTGTGGGCTTGTGCAAAGAGTAACAACTGAGCAGTTGTAGTCTACAAATACTGCCATTTTTTTTAGTACAGAATGGCTTATTCTAAGAACATATAAGTTAAAAAGGCAACAAATCTTACTGTTTTAATATTAAAATAAATACATTTTCATTCATTGAAAACATTTGTGATTGGATAAGTTCACTCTATAGAATATAGTTTTCTATGCAAAACAGTGGCTTTGCCTTCTCTGAAACTAACAGTTCTTTTTCAGCTCCAGGAAATAGTGTCCCACTTAGATGAACAAACCCAGCTTTCTATTTTTTTCCTGGGACAATAGTTTAATTTTTTTTTCAAGATTCTGTTATGACATGATACAAATACATTTGTTTTCCCTTAACATTTTTTGTCAGTGTGACTCTAGACTGGAAAATGTCGGAGTCAGGGCTATGCTGTTCTACCTTAGTCTTCCTCAAATACATCCTCATTTCAGTGCTGCACAGATACAGTGAATAAGTAGGTTAATGATTTATTAATGAATGTGATTCAGCATGGAGATAGGAAGACAAATACATCTTTGTGGATTGTCTTTCTGCATTTCTGAAAATTACTGCATACTTTGTGCAAAAGGCATCAGAATGAACAGATACCTAAATTACTTCAGAATATTGACAGACATTCATGTCTTTCACTGTGTAAGAAGTTCCAATGACGAGAGGAATTCATGTGTCTCAATTCGAATCAGGAAAGTGTGCAACAACAGGAAGACATCACTTGCATCCACAGCACATGGAAGCAGTGCTGCCTCATAAATACTGAGAGCACAGAGTCAGCCATCCATCCGGGAGGGGGCTGGCATGTGCATGAGACAGATATGAAATCCAGAACACAATCCTGATATGTAGTATCATTTTATATTATGAAGTGATTGACTATAGCTTACTGCTGTGTTTGTGGTGAGTGTGTGAGGGGTGTGCTCCAAGCCACACTGGGAAGCTGTAGTAGGTTTAAAAGCAGAGGTACATAAATTGACACCAGTGAGCATCCTCAGCTAGGTCAGCATAGCTGAGGGGCAGGAGTCATGGCCAGCAACACTTCAAGCCACACACATTTCCCTATGAATGGACAGCCTCGGTTTACACACCTGGGGTGAGTTAGCACTGCCACCTTGTATATTGCACTCAGCTGGAACAGAGGCAGTAAGATGCAGTTTTTGTTTTGTAAAAGTGGTCACATTCTTTGTCTCTTGGCAAAAAAAAATCCAAGGTATATTAAATATGTTTTTTAAAAAGTACACTTTCAAATCCAAGAAAATGCAGGTACACTAAATGTGTAAACACCATTACTCGCCCAGCACTCAAAACTAAATGGAAATGCATAAACCACAGAAAAACTTAATTAAGTGTCTTTACTCCCAATTCTTCATCACTGTTTTCTACCCCAGCCTCTGTCATCAGGTCAGCAACACGCTTCTCAAGGTCATTGATGCGCTCGCCCATTTCTTCCAGTAAAAAGTTAAAGATAACTTCTATAAATAAGAGTTCTACATTTTTACAAGTTTTTTCTACTGTAAGAAGAACAAGCAGCTTTCTTTCAGATGTGTCAGTCTTTACTTGTTCATGCTTAACATAAGATGAAGCATGCACAAGGTGGTATTGTTAGAATACAATCCCTCATTCTCTTACAACAGATAAGCATTCAAATTCTTAGTATCAAAAGCCTTTGCAAATATTCATGAGTGAACTGTGTGATTGTTTTCTTTCTGAGGAACTCTTTTAGGTGATACCATACAGATAACCTACAGAATTAGAATATGAGTGCTACTCAAACATTATTCAGGAAGTAGCCGCTTAGTTTCGGAAAAAAAAATAAATTAACAAATGCTTCAGAAAGCAGAGGTAGTTTCTGTAAGCACATGTAATAAAGCTCAGAGGCCCTTCAGGTCTGATTTTCTTCTTTTGAGGGCTCACCTTGTCATGCTCAGGCCAACAGCTGCTTTTAAACCGTGGCTCGTTTTAGTTGCATTTTTGGAGAAGGATGCTTTTTTAAATGCACCTTCGGAATCTTTATACATAATTCGATGTTTATTTTACTTGAAAGCCAGAATTGCTGCACAGAGACTACCGTGGTACTTGTGGTGAAACACTTTTTAGGGTTCCCTTCTTAGAAAAAGTGATCTATAAAGAGGCTGGGGCGGGGGTAAGTCAGGTGCCTGTACGTCACAGGCGTTTACCCCGGCACACATCCCGGGCTAATGTGATGTTTACGGGAGAAGCCCACCCCGCTGTTAGAAGCAAAGAGCCCGCCCGCACCCAGCAGCGCGCAGGGGGCCCAGCCGCGGGATCCCGAACCCAGCCGCGGCATCCGACGTTCCAAAGAGGATATTTCTCAGCGTCAGCTTCTCTGTCAGAGCCTCAAAATTCTCCTGCAGCCGGCAGAGCAGATTTTCCGCCTAGGGGGGAAGGGGGAAAATGAACAGCGGGGAAGCAGAAGGCAGGGCCCGGCCGCACGGGACCCCCAGCAGGACACCCACCCGCCCGGCCCCGCTCACCAGCTGCGGCAGCTCCGCGGCTCCCGGCGGCTCCGCGGCCGCCATCGGCTCCGGCTCCGCGGGCGCGGCGGGGCGGGCACAGCGCGCACGGCCCCGCCCGCAGCGCTCCGCGGGCAGCCGGGGAGCCTTTCCCGGCCAGTGCTGTGTTTGCTGGAGAAAGCGTCGTTCCGCGCGGCAGCAACTAAATAAGGATGCCGAGGTTTCATCTTAAGAGGTCTTACAATTTTATTTTTTTTAAAGGTTTCCTTCCTTTTCTCCCGTGCAATTAGTTTTGTGTAATGGAGTGGTAAAAATACCGTGGTGGTTGAAGTTCCTTGCACTGCAATGCCCAGCGAGACAACATCAAAGGCATCAGCAAGGGTCACATGGTGCCTCTTGCAGCACCAGCATCTAGGTCATCCCTGGCTTTTGGCTGCACAGTGTAAAAAAGCTCCCAGTGCATACAGAGGTGTCTTTCTTCTGGATGCCTGATGTAAATGAAGAGGTTTTCATTTCACTGTGCCTGTATGGTTAGGAGCGTATCACTGTTAGGCAATAAATTATCTTAGTCAATTACTTTGAGTAATTACATATGCTAGATATGCCAAATATGTGTCTTCATGCACAAAAAATTTCTGAGCTGGGAATTACTTCAGTTGCTGTAAGCCTACCACTTAGAATCTTTCGTAATAAACTTAATTATTCTCCTTCTTGACCTTCCCCATCTCATTTGAGAGGGTGTGTTAATCTCTGAAGTGAAATTCTGGCATCAAAGCAAACCTCCGCATTGCTACCTGCTTCCCATAATTGTAGCTTCTCTGTACAGCCTTATTTTTTCCCACTCTTGCAGGTAGTCCTTGTTGTAGAAAGAAAAATAAAGCACATTTAGCAAAGCTTGAGTGTCCTAACAGTATCACTGCTCTAGAAAGCTTCTAGATAAACAAGTTGAACAATATTATGCATGTAGATAGAGTTTGCTTTTGTATGTAGCCACTAGCTTCAACCATACAGCCTTTTTGTTCTATTGCATAAGTAATAAGGAACAATTGGTGCTTCTTAACTGTTTATTTGTTGATAATAAATATTCTTTCCTTTAAGGCTAGGTGGTAGTAGTAGTAGCTAGAGCTGTAGTATTTTTGCATTTTTACTTCTGATAACAGCCATAGTCTTCCTGGTTTTCCCTCCTTCCAGAAGAGCTACAAAAGCTTCTCTCTCATGCAGCAGTATTTTCCCCCAGAGGCAGTAGAAGTGGCTCTGTCTGCTTGTGCCCAGTTATCTTGAACAAAGCCATAGAGTCCTATTCATAGTGAAGAGCTTGCAAGGATAAAGAAGCAGCTGGAAATGCAGAGGAGCAAGCATTATACAGCCAACCAATTCACAGGAATCCCACTACATCTTTGTAGTGCCACATTTTAGCAATGGCCAGGTTAGGGTTCAACTGAAAACAAGCATGACTTGATAAAAGGTTTTCTGTAATTAGCTCCTCATTTTTGTGAGGTAGGTCAGTGTGGTCAAAACAGAAAAAAAAAAATAATATCCAGCTGGCACAGCAATGAAGAACAGGCAATTAAAAGTGTGAAAGAGACTGAAAAATATTTGCCATGCATTTCCCCCTTCAAAGGTCTAGTTCTTTTACTTTGTGGGCACAGCAGATGATGTGAATGGCCCTCTTAGTTCAGATCTGGAGCTGAATGAGGCCAAGAGTGCACAGCTGGGTTTAGGAAATAAAAATAGAAGTGTCTTTAAAGCTAAAAGTAGTCATGGAAAAGTTCCAGACTTCAGAAAGCCTAAGAATAGAAGAGACAAATGACAGGACCAAATAGACTTTGCTTAGCAATGCATTTACTTAGAACTAGCATGCTTGGTTTTGCTCTTCTGCCTTCCAGTCTCTTCCTTCTCAGAGGGCTTAGAAGTTTGGAATTGAGCTGTTGCATACATTTCCAGGGTCTGAAATCTGGGGATGTAAGATGAGCCATAGTTTAAAGGCATAGTCCATGTTGGGCATGCACCCATGGGCTAAGGGAAGCTGAGCAAAGACCCTTTGGCTTTGTTTTGTTTCAAAAGCAAAGGGCTCGCTGAGAACCAGTAAACCACCGGTGTCACAGGAGTATTTAATGTAATAAGAATGCTTAATTTACTAAAAGGACAACAAGAAGTTCATTTTGGCAGTGAGTACAAAAACACTGAGGAGGTTTGAGAAAGGAGCAAAAGAGATTTGACAACAAATTCTTTTTCCATTCCAAAATATGCCCTATGCTGCTTTCTTTCAGTAAAAAGCTTAGACTTTAGTCACTTTCAGTCTAAATATGTCTTCTTGGTATGAAGAACATGAAGTAAAAATAAAATTAGGGTTACCTCGAGGCTGAGGTGCCATCTGCTTCCATCCTATTTCAGTGTTGCAGACCTATGGTGTGAACTCTTCACAGTGTGCGCTGAAATGGTATCCAAAGCATGTTTCCCTTGCTCTTTCCTGGGGAAATTCCAGTCCCTCCACTGCTGGAAGGAGAAGTCACAGTAGCAGGAGAGGACATAAAAGCATGTTGAAACATTTACAAGACCTAAGCTCCAAGTTCACTGCCATGCTGTAAAAGGCTGTGGTGTGGTGAGATAGAAGAACTTGTTGTAGAAATGCATTACTCTTGCTGTTTGGATGTTACATAGAGCCTCTTTCCCTCCTCTTTGCTAACAAATAAGATTTTATATACCAGGGCTAAGAAATCCTCTGGTCACATACTCCAAGCGTGTCTGGCTCAGGGTTGCTTTGGAATGGAGGTGAGGCCACAGAGAGGACATCTCAAAGAGAACCTGAATATTACATGTGTAGTAAGAGAGAAAACAGGAATTTGGTCCTGGAAGGAGACAAGGAGGCAAGTGGTCCTGGGCCAACATGGCAGCTTGTTTGGCAGCAGATCAGAAGGCAGGATGCAAATGGCACTGCAAATTTTGTGGGTTTGCTATTTTTTCTTCCTGGCAGAGGCATGGTCAATACTAAAAGTTTTCTCTGAAGAGAAAAGGGCCAGGCACAAGTTAGTGCTTTCAGCACAATCATGGTATTTTTGCTAACAAATTGTTGGGCTGGGTCTTTGAGTCATGCTGTGTTTGGTCCTTCCCTCTCAGGTAGCTTCTCTTGTGTCACTTTGCAGTAGTGATTCAGAGGGACACAATGTGCAGAATAAACGCTCTGGCTTTGCTAGGTCATCACCTTTATATGCAGCAATCCCAAATGGTGCTGATGGTTCTTGTAGCAAACTTTGACATGTACCCAATCTTTTGATTCAGCATGATGCAGTTCACTGACGCTTGCTCCACTGGAGTACTTCCTGGTGAAGGCATTGCTTTTCTTTCATATGGTAACATCAGTAGACCAACAAGTTGTTATTTAAAAGCATGGAAAGATGTGGTGAGTGAAATGCAAATGCCTCAGGCAGGGGAAAAAGGCATTCAGGTCTGTGGTGTCTGACAGCTGGTGTTCCTTTGAAACACAGTCATTTGAGGTGAATATTAAAAGCCTGGGTGTTTGCTCATGGTTCAAATTTCAGTTTCTGTATCTTTGAAGAGAAAAGGGTAATTCCAGCCGTTGGAAACATGATCCCTGATGGAGGTGCTCTGCCTTTAATAAAAATGTTCTGTATAAACTTTTATAAAAGTGTTCTTTAATAAAAGTAATAAAAGTTTTGGAACTGCTGCTTACAAATCCCCTTATTGTGAAATATTTCAGACAGCCCTTTCTGCAAGTATTTACAGAAAGAAAACTGAAAGGGTTAAGGATAATTTTGATCAGATGTTCAGTGCATGCTGTGGGCATCATGTACTGCTAAGCAGCTGTAACAGAACACAGGATGTAATTTTCGTTGTAAGTGTATTGCACCGGGATAAATGCAGGAGCAGCAGCAAGGTGACTTTGGAGGCTGGTCTGGTGGGTGATGGTGGCGTCCTTTGGCTCTGTGAGGAGCTGTGTGTAATTCACGGCTCTGTGAAATCACCCGCCCAGCAGCTGTTGACTGAGTTATTATGTGATCCAGAAATCTCCAGCTATGTTTCCCGGACATGGCTGGTAAGAGATGTTAAAAATAGGTTACTGTTGTAAAATAGGAAAAATAGGAAACTGTTGTAAAATAGTTAATAGATCGTAAAGCATGTACTGTTAGTTTGGTTATTATATTGTAAAAGGAGTTAAAAGGGTAGTTATAAAAAATACGGTACTCAACGTCCCATAATATACCTAAGTAAAGTGCTCCACTCGCAAGCCAAACGAGCCAGCCTTACAATGGGCTGTAATGTAATGGGCCAATCAAGCGCCTTAAACCTTCATGCAAATGAAGGATCCAAAAAGAAACCAGTCCAAAGGGACAAAAAACAGCATAAAAGGGGGCTTCTGACCCACTGAATTTGTGCCGCTCCATCGGGGACATCGCTACATCGCTGCTGAGGCAGACCCAGCCGCCGGCCTTGCAGCGTCCTTGACGGGAGCGCTCCTGCTGCTCGGCCCATGGGCTCCATGCTTTAGGCCTCTCTTTTTCTTATAATAAAAGCTGAAGTCACTTTAGTCCGGGAGCCTGCTCTTGGTTTTATCAAGAGGTGTTGCTTCCCATGCTTTTTTCTGCTCCAGCCTTGTTCCATTGTCTTTGTATAGTGAGGGTGAAAGACAATGCTCTTTCACCACTCAGCTCAGCTCCAGAAAGGCGGCAGGAGGGAGCTGGAGGTGTTTGTCCCTGGTGGGAGAGTGAGCAGGGTTTGTTTCTCTGGCCTGGCACGCCTGGCACTGCACCTGGGGGCTGTGTTCCAACCACCCTGTGGCCTTGCTCCTCACATGTGCACAGAAGAGCTTTCTGGAAGCAAATACAGTGTGTGACAGGTGAGGCTCTGCTGTGAGGGCAGGATGGGCAGCCCCTGCGGCACAAGGACAGTCAGCTGAGCTCACATGTTCAGATCCCACAGCCTGGTGTGGCTCTCTTCAGGGACCTCGTGGTCCAGAGCAGAATGTGCATTTTGTGCACAGATATTAAACATGGCATGTGCTGTGGTGCGTGATCGAAAGAGCATTTTTCTAAAATACTTGATAAAGAGAGCCTGTGCTGAAGAGGCA